GAAATGTTTTCTAGAAAAGGTATCAGGACTCTATGATTCAAGTTTAAACTTTGAAAAAGATAAGGGAAACAAGAAGTGTATACTTAGAAAGAGTCACTGTTTCAACCACAGGGCCCCTGGAAGTTCCTCCTGTCTGTAACCGCAAAGGAAAGATTATTTATTCCTTGTCTTTGACTTACACCCTTAAGCTGGGCTGATCTTCCAGGAGGAGGTTTGTGGGAATTGGTTCTCATGCTTTGCTGTCCTCAGTGGATCCTCATCTTCAGTCACCAATACTTCCTCCTCTGCTCTATTTTATGCTTCCCAGTGTTCTGCCCAGATCTCTGTATTGTGTCTAATACTCCTTAAATTGCCCAGGTTGCATTCACATGTGGGAACTATTGATCTCTTCTTATTTCCCAGATATTATTCTAGATACTGGTATACCTATAGTTGGTCCATAGCTGGGACTCAAAGTGGCCCTTCTGTTCTATCTGGATTCCTCCATTCCCAGAAATCACTATTCTTGTTTCATGTGTCTTTTCTTAAAGGATTGGGCTTCTGCAAATGCTTCTTTTCTGAGGTTTTTTTTTTTTTTTTTTTTAAAAAAACTCCATCTTTTACCTTGCAATCTCAATTCCTTTTATGTTAATTTGGAGCCAAGTTTCTGAGCCCCTCATGTCCAGGAATACAGCGGCTTCTGGATGTACATCTAAGGGGCCAACTACCCATTGTAAGACTTCCAAGAATTAGTCTATCAGTTTCTCATTCATTCCCATCCATTATCCCCAGACATTTTCTCACTAACTGCTTTCCCAAACCACACTAATTCACATTTTCAGATTTTCCATACTCTAGACTGAAATTCTGCTGAGAGCTGTGGCTCTTCAGACTCAGTGTGCAGCTCTAATGCCAGGGCTTTTTTTTTCTTTTCTTACTGTGTGTGCCCCATGCTTTGCTACTAATCAATCTGGAGACATGATTGATGAAATTAAAATCTGCTTGTAAAAGGTTACTGGTGACCCATTCTACAAACTATTCTGGAATATTCCTTACCTATAGTTAATGTGTTTTTCCAGTTGGACTCTTTGCTCACATGTGGTGTGGCAGCTTGGCAACAGTTCTTCTCTATACATGTGTGTCACTACTCTAAATGTAGGATTATTGTCAGAAATTACATTTTCAACTGTGGTGCATAGCTGGATGGACCTTTAATTGCTGTAACTTGTTTGAGATAGAGCAAAGAATATTTAAAGAACATTTGGGAATTTTTACTTTGGAGGGTTTCTGAAAAATCAGTGTGGATTCTGTTCTAGTACTTTTTAGGGGCTAATTTGATTAAAGACTAGGTGCCTTGGGGAAGCGATCCCAAACAATCTGGCTTAAGGTAGATTGTGGTCCAGTCAGTTGAAGATCCTCAAAGCCTGTTTCTAGCATATACTTCTCAGGAAGAAGAACTCTGTGTGCTATTTTACACTGTGTCCAAATAACTGATGATGACCTTCCTGAATAATAATATAAGAAAAATAATATTCATTAACAAATTGTAAAGAATTCAAATAGTTGAAGACATGTTCTTGTTTTCCTCCTTGCCATATCTCTTCATCCAATGCCAGAAACCAAGTAGTTGAAAATCCTATTATATCTGATTTGAAGTTAATTTTAATTGGCTTGAAGAATCTCAAAAGTATCTCAGGACAGTCAAATTTCCTATAGAATTAGAAAATCTCAGCCTGCATTTGGGGTAGGAAGTCGGTATGTAATATTGCTTTCAAGGCTACTATAGAATATTGTAATACAGGACCAGGATTTCCATTCAGAAATGAGTTTTTAAAAATGGGTTATCCTATGTAAAAAATATGAAGACAAAGCCATATTGGTAGTAGTGGGCCTGGAGCCTGCTGGGCTCATCTACCACTTGATGTGTTGCCTCATCCCAATTGGTAGCACTGTTGTTGACTGGCAACTCTGCCATCCTTCCTTGCCATCTGGCTCAGCCCCTTCAGCACCAGAAGGTGCAATGAACTGTTAATGGTGGGAAAGAAGTGCTCTATATTGTCATGATGTACCAGTACAAGCCCAGAAGTAAACTGCTTCACATGCCAGCAAACATTCTCAGGGCAGTGAATTCAGCTCTGTGAAATATGTTTTTTCCAGGAGGTGATGCAGTCCTTTAGCCCTACCTTTTGTAAAAGAAAATCTTGTTACAAAATAACTAGCTCCAGGAAGACTTAGAAATCATGTTATTGTTTTAGAAAAAGACTTACCCATTGTATATAGTTAATTTATGTCAGAGAAGTTACTAGATGCAATGGTATGGGAGCTTATGAATGTCTAATTATACATTTATAATTAGGAATGGCTAGTTATACATTTTTCCCTTTTACCATTTGATTATCTGATATATTGTTTGGCTCTGGGGGCATCCAGAAGTCCTTTACTTCTTTTATTAGCTTAATAATTTAGACCTCACTAACCCAGGGCAACAAGTTAGTAGCTCAGGAAGCTAAGTCTCTGGAAAGTATCAAAAATGTCCAAGAACATTGTCAAGTCTATATCAACTTTCCTTTTTCCTTGCCTTCACCTCTTCTCAGCATTCTCTAAGATGCCAGGGTCTTGTATCTACCCTGGTGCTTAGGTATTGTCACATTTTACTTTTTTTTTGTCAGTCATGGGGCTTGAACACTGGGCCTGCGCACTGTCCCTGAGCTTTTCAGCTTAAGGCTAGTGCTCTACCACTTCTGGTTTTCTGGTGGTTTATTGGAGATAAGAATCTCTTGGACTTTCCTGTCTGGGCTGATTTGAACCTCAATCCTTAGATCTCAGCCTTCTGAGTAGTTAGGACTACAGGCATGAGCCACCCGCGCCTGACTTCATATTTTACTTCTGAAACTGCTTTACCCAGGGTAACTAAACTCTGAACTCTCACACTCTTTTGCTTCACATAACTTCTACTATGCTCATGAAGTTTGTGAGTCTTGTTGAAATAGCCAGTTCCTTGCTTGAATAACATTAATCAAGGAGGTCTTACAACTTCAGTGGGGGGGGGGAAGAAGGTGGGGGAGGGAAGGGATAGTGGGAGAACAACAAGGGAGGGGGTAACAATGCTCGACAAGAAATGTACTCATTGCCTTACTCATGTAACTGTAACCCCTCTGTACAGCATCTGTACAAGAAAATAAAATAAAAGAAGAAGGTCTTAGAAAACCTTCTTCTCCAGAAAAGTATGCTGGGAGTTTCTGTTTGGTGTTCTCACCAGTGAATCTTGTCACTGTTGAATAATGACATTTCATGGTGAGAAAGCTTTCTTTCCCCAAGTAGAATAAAATCTTGTCTGTAGGCTTTGTCTTTGATCTTACCCTTGTAGTTTGATCTGCCTATTATTTCCTACAGAAGCCATAGCTTCTTCTTTCCTGAGGCTGGGATTCCTTCCAACAAGAACACCCAGCCATGAGTGTTTACAGCTCCACTACAGGCTTTTTGTTGGAGCTGTCCCTTCAAGGGAAGGTCTGTTTGTGATGGGTGTGTGTGGCATCTTGTCACTTACCTTGCCTGAGGTGGAAAATGAGGCACCATAGAGAGCGAAGAGTCTGTAGATTTGGTGAGGGCCAGGATATCAGGACATGAGAGACTATAGTACACTAGGAGTTCCTTTCATGTGGGACCAAGGATTTGATAATTTTATAGTGTTGATGCTTAGTTTCTTTCACATAGCACATCACACTGAGGTGCTCTGGTCATAGCCTGAGCCTGATTTGCTTCTATGATCACTATGTGAAGCCTTTGAATTCTGACCACTACTGCATCCTGTTCTTCTGCCCTGTGTTTAGCTTCTCCCATCAAGACCTCATTGATTCCATCAGATGCCTTCCTGTACTGTTCCTTTGCTCTGTTCATACTGTTACCTCTCTTTACCACCTTCATCTTCAGACACATAGACCCTGGCTTGTTGCTTAATGATATTCTGGCTAGGTTTCTAATTTCCCTGCACCTGTATCTTTTTTTCTTCCCAACTTATCTGACAAAAATCTAAGCCCACTGAGTACAAGAGTACATTGAATCTATGGCTGGGTAGTAGAGAGGTGGTGGAGAAAATCTCTCATCTGGGCTCTTTGGCTTGTCAGCCTTCTGACTGAGTTTCTCTGGCCGTTGGCCTGCCTACCATGCTCTTCAGTGATCCATCAGAACTCTTCATCCTGACAGTCTCATCTCTCCATAGCTCTACCCTCAGTTGATGACCTTTCTTCTTATTTAAGAAGGATGTGGAAGCATTTGGTGGAACTGTGCCCCCAACCCCTGGGGACCTCTCTGAAACTGTGAGTGTGCTGGGCTGGAGGTCTTGGCTTTGTCCCCTGCTTTACAACTGGATTTTTCAGATAGAGGGCTGTATGAGGCTTCTCCTCTCCTTCAATGCTTTTTATAGGCCATTGTCTACTCCAAACTGGGATCTGTTGGCATGGTGACAGCGGTGCAGCTTTTGCTGAGGTCATGGAAGACCAATGTGGAGGCTCTTTCAGTCCCCACCTAAGCTCCAGCTACTTCTCTCTTTCCTGGCCCCAGATTTCTCCCTGTGCTTCCTTTCCCCCCTTGCTCTATGTGTTTTTTTTCTTTGTTTTGTAGATAATTTCACCTATGCAATACCCTCAGTACAGACTAGAAGCAAATGCCTGCAAGGTTTTACCTGTAATTCAGACTTCCATCTGGCTCATAATTATGTGAAAGAGATTTCTACTGGACTATCTTGAAAGCCTCTCAGAAAGCCACATGTCATCTGAAGCATTTTCTTCTCCTTTACCCTTCCACCCTCAATGACCATAGTCAGTGCATTACAACTCCAGTAGGTCGACCATTTAACATATTTATTGAATCTATATAGCAATATAGACCTTAAGATACTAATGAGCTGATATTGAATTAATAACTTTGCTTTAGAACAAGCTTCTTATACACTGATATGAAAGTATTTTTTGTGGTCTTGTTAACATATAAACACATATTTACTTTTGGATTTTCCTTTTTAGGCCTTTAAAACCAAGGATGGCTATCTTGTAGTTGGAGCAGGAAATAACCAACAGTTTGCCACAGTGTGCAAGGTAATATACAAACATTGGATATAAGGGTGATAAGTACAACAGTTCACTTACTATTACATGTCAGCATGTAAAAGTAGACCATTTTTGTATTTATAAATGGGGAAACAAATGGTAAAAGACTGGGACTAAATTAGCATTCTACTTTTTAAAATGTAGGACCTATTTATATTGTGAATTGATGTATCACAATCGCTTAAGTTGCCTGGCTTTGATCTATCTACTAGTTAAATAAAGGGGGAGAGCCAGGAAATGAATTTTAAAGGATTTTTTAAATACTAAGGGTCTTCTTCTTTTCTTCTCACTTCCCTCTTTTCTTTTCTTGTTCCTCCATATGAGGTTTGTTTAGGACTAAATTTATATGAATCCTAAATTTATCTTATTTGCCACTAGAAAATCTAAAACTTATTTATTTTCAAATTAACCTGGTTAATGAATATCTTTCTGCAAAACTTCATGTTCAAGGATTTTAGACATCATTTGAATTTTTCTCTTCAACAAAGCCTTTATTTATTTGTTTGTTTGTTTACTTATGTTGGTACTGGGGTTTGAACTCAAGGCCTCATACTCTCACTTGTTATTCTCACCAAAGCCTGGTGCTCTACCACTTGAGCCACAGCTCTACTTCTGGTTCTGGTTCACAGCTCTGGCTCTTTGCTGGTTAATTGGAGGTAAGAGTCTCATGGACTTTCTGTTGTGGATGGCTTTGAACTTTAACCATCAGTTCTTAGCCTCCTGAGTCACTAGGATTACAAGTGTGAGCTACCAGTGCCCAGTGCAATGAAGTCTTTAAAAACATTCTTGAAATAATTTTTTTTTGCCAGTGCTGGGCTTTGAACTCAGGGGCCAGGGCACTGTCCCTGAGCTAGTACTCTACCACTTGAGCCACAGCACCATTTCTGGCTTTTTCTGTTTATGTGGTACTGAGGAATCCAACTCAGGGCTTCATACATACTAGGCAAGCACTGTACCTCTAAATCACATTCCCAGCCCCTTTGAAATCATTTGAAAAATATGTTAGGGATATTCTAAAAATTTAGTATTGTCTAAAAAAGTTTCTAATAAATGTTTTAATTCATGTAGACTTCCAAGTTTAAATGTTTTTATTTAAGACATTAGGTATCAGTCTATTTTTCTGGCTTTAATTCTGGAAATATAACCTAGATTTGATTTGTGTGTGTGTGTGTGTGTGTGTGTACATGCACATGCACATGTGCCAGTACTTGGGCTTGAATTTAAGGCCATGAGTTTTTGTTTAGCTTTTTTCCCTCATGGCTGGTGTTCTACCACTTGAGCCATAACTCTACTTCTGTGTTTTTGCTAGTTAACTGCTGGAGATTAGGGTCTCACATAGACTTTTCTGTCTAGGCTGGCTTGGAACTGTTGATCCTCAGATCTCACCTTCTTGGGGAGCTAGATGTGAGCCCTCAGCACCTGGCTCAATATAAACTAGTTTCCAAAAAGGTATTTTTTTCTAATGTAATCAAAGATTTGACCTATTGAGAATATTTCCCTGATGGAAAAAGGTTTCTTTTTGTTATTATTATTGCTGTTGTTGTTGTTGTGTGTGTGTATGTGTGTGTGTGTGTGTGTGTGTGTGTACCAGCCATAAGCTGTTCAAGGCTAGTGCTATACCACTTGAGCTCACAGCTCCACTTCCAGCTTTTAAGAATCTCAAGGATTTTCCTGGTTGGGATGGCTTTGAACCATGATCCTCAGATCTCAACCTCCTGAATAGCTAAGATTATGGGTGTGAGCCACCAGTTCCTGCCTAGGATTAGTTTTTTTTTTTGTTTTTTTTTAGCTATCCATGTTACCATGAGCTTCTTATTTTCTAAAACTTCCTATGAACTGCTTAGAGGAATTGTATTCATTGTAGTTCACTTATTATTCACAAATAATACCTATTACCAGACCTGTTTTGTAGAAGATGCTAATGAGCAGAGGTCAGAGCTTCAGCAAAGGGTTGAGAAGCATTCCAGGAAAGGTGACCTGTGGAGATGGTTCTGATGGTGAGAAGCATCCCAGGAAAGGAGACCCGTGGAAATGGTTCTGATAGTGAGAAGCATCCCAGGAAAGGTGACCCGTGGAGATGGTTCTGGTGGTGAGAAGCATCCCAGGGAAGGTGACCTGTGGAAATGGTTCTGATAGTGAGAAGCATCCCAGGAAAGGTGACCCGTGGAGATGGTTCTGATGGTGAGAAGCATCCCAGGAAAGGTGACCCGTGGAGATGGTTCTGGTGGTGAGAAGCATCCCAGGGAAGGAGACCCGTGGAGATGGTTCTGATGGTGAGAAGCATCCAGGGAAGGTGACCCGTGGAAATGGTTCTGATAGTGAGAAGCATCTCAGGAAAGGTGGCCCGTGGAGATGGTTCTGATGGTGGCAGGAGCTGGCATACCTGAGGTGGGGAAAGGGGATTTATTTTTATTTTTTATAATAGTGACTCAGTGAGTGGAGAGAAAATTGATTCAAACATTTGATCTGGGATCAAAGAATCTTTATTATGAACGGTCAATGTTAAAAATATGAAACATACGGAAGCTGTTGCCTGTGAAGTCATTTGCGTACTCTAACTGCAGAGATGTAAAAACCGGCTCATTGCTCTAAACAAGTACAGATTTTCTTCCTGGGCCATATGTTTTGGAGTTTCCTCTCTCTAAAAGAAAAAAAAAGAAAGAAAGGCTGAGGAAAGAGGGAGAGAGATTACTGGTTGACATATTCTTAACTGTTGAAAAGAACTGTACTAAAATCCTTTTATTTTTGATTCATTACTGCTGATTGATCTGAATATTTTGGAACTTCTTTATAAATATCCATAAGAACATTTTTGAGAAAGTTTCTTTCAGTACAAAGCAAAATATTTGTCATAAGTCTCAATACTAAAATATAATCTATTGTTATGGTCAGTGTTATTATAGTTTTTTTTTTCCCACAAAGGATACTGTTGGAGGGTCTCGAAGAATGCCATAGTTCACCTTGATTTTCCCATATGTGAGTCAGGAATGATAATTCCTGTTATGAGCCATTAAGGTCATGTCTGTAGAAACTGAGCATCTCAGAAGGAGGGCTCTGTGTGCCTGTACAGGATTTCACTGCTATTTGTATCATTTGTCTGAGTAAATGAGTGAATGCTGCAATCTGATCGGCCTTTTAAATTTTTGTACTTACCCTTATAAGTAAACTTGTACTAAAAATCCTCTTCTTTCCCTATTCTGATGCAGTTACACTTTCCTCTTGGTCAGACATGGTAAGTACATTTCTTTTAAGTATTTTTATTCAGATTTATCTAGTGACAAGGGACTCAGCATTCAAATTGGCCTTGTAGAAGGCAAGGGCTGCAGTGTGTGACAGTGAACAGTCAAATTGTTCTTTTGTAAGTGAGGTCCATGAGTAGAGAGATGGAGTGGTTCTGTCTCCTGGGGAGAAAGGCAGCACTGCTGAATGAATAGTATTCATTCACCCCTTTTCTTTCTAAAACAGGATTTAAGATCCTGTTTGATTAATGCATTTGAGGAGGGTTCCTATTAGGAAGTGCTCATTGACAGGGTTAAAATAGGATTGAGGATATTGAGTTCAAAGCTTGAAGGTCAGAAAATTTTCTTGTGTAGAGAGTAAATCTTGGCTTGTAGCAAATTCTATTTTATATCCCCTAACATGATACAGAAGAAGAGGGAGAGTGAGCATATGTAAGCTATTTTAAGCTGATTGATGCCAACACTAATGGGCATTTCTATTTGAAGTATATTGACATCCATTTTATAGTCATTGAGACTGAAGGCCTCTTTCATTGGGGGCAACATGCATCACTTCTCAACTTTGTGCACAGAATCTTCTGGAATTCCATTCTCAAAGACTGGATTTAGTGAGTTTGAGCTGTGGCACAGGAAGCTTCAACATGAATAAGCACTGTAGTTGATTTTGGCACAAGTGGTCTGTAGCCATGATGGAATAATTCATGAGGCCTACTATGAGTCTTGCCACTAGTCAGGTAACTTCTGTCAAGGTATTTAATCTTTTCTAAGCATCTGCTTTCTTGTATGTAAAACATAGAACACCCATATATATATATATATATATATATATCATATATAATATAATATATATAACATATATATCACATAACTACATTAACTTAAAGCTGGAGGGGTTTTGTAAGAGTTTATAGTAGATAATTAAAATACTTAGGATAGTCCTAGTTTACTTTGCACTCTTAATAAATGTTATTGTAAATGTTGGATGAGGATGTTGAAGCACTGGGGAGGACTCATCAAATAAGCTCCTCCTACCCCTCCCACACTACACAGTGATAGAACATGGACAGAACACATGGAGCTTGGAACTTTGTGAGAGGACTCTGATAGAAAACAGTGGAGGACTTGAGGGACAACATCAGAATTTGAAGGATTTCTAAACTGGTAACTCTAGTTACTATATTAACTAAATCCAGGGGAGTATAAAGCCCAGAATACCAGGATACAGAGCTGAGCTCCAGCATTCCTTCTTTTTTTTTTGTTCTTATATATTTTTTATTGTAAAGATACTGTACAGAGAGGTTACAGTTACATGAGCAAGGTAATGAGTCCATTTCCTATAGAGCATTGTTATACCCTCCTTTATTTTCCCCCTACCATCCCTTTCCTCCCCAACTCCTCCCTCCCTTCCCCCCGCCCCGACAAATTTATAAAGTTCCTTTTTAACATAGTGTCTTGTACATCTCATTGTTACAATGGGTCATCCTGTATCCTTATTTCAACATTTTGTTATTTCCCTTCCCCTCCCCAAATCAGAAAAAAAGTATATACAAGATGCAGGACACTGGAATGAAATATAGTGACAACAGGGGTTATACCATGGGGGAAGAACATACAAAAGAAATAAAAAAAACACAAAGCACATTATAAAGCACATTAAAAAGAATAGCAACAAAGATAAAACCTCTTGTGTCCCTATCTTGGGGTTCATTTCACTTAACACAATCTTATCTGGTCATATGTACATAGCTT